CAAATTCTCTTATAACTAATTTAATTTATTACGTGTTTGTAGATGTAGAACGTCCAGGTTGTTATAATCCTGAGAAGGACTGTTTTTGTTGTTGTTGACTGACGTTTCGACAACCTTAGCGGTAGTCATCTTCAGAATCAAATCAGAAGTAAACGTCAGGTTAGCCATATTTGTTATCTGGTTCTTTCTTACGCAGCGATGGTTGAACCAGAGTTGTTGGCGTATGCGTCTGACGTTGCTTGCAAAACGTATGTAGTCGTTAGCAAGTTGTTCGCTCTGTTGTCCAAATGATCGTAATAAAGTAAATGGTTTGAACCAGGGTATCGTTAAATGTTTGTAAATGTAGATCGTTCAAGTTGGTATAGTCTTGAGAAGGACTGTTTTTGTTGTTGTTGACTGATGTTCAACCACCGCTATGTAAGAACCAGATAACAAATACGGCTAACCTGACGTTTACTTCTCATTTGACTCCGAAGATGACTACCGCTAAGGTTGTCGAAACATCAGTCAACAACAACAAAACAGTCCTTCTTAGGACTATGCCAACCTGGACGATCTACATTTACAAACATGTAACGATACTCCCGGCTCAAATCATTTACTTTAAATCTTTAAATTAATTTATAAAAGTAATAGCAAAAGTAACACTGTATGTATGTATAATATGCAAATATTAAATTAGGAATAATTGAACGAGCAGTTTTCCAAAGTTCATCTTACAAAATTTGCATGCTAAAGGCAAGCGGTAGCAAAGCAATTGCTTCATTTAAATTATTTATCTTTACATGTATATGTTGATGTTGACATGAAAGTTAGAACTCAGCCAATAATTAAATCATGTTAACTGGAGCTTAAAGGATGTTTTCTGTATTTTGTTCAATTTGTTGCCAACCAGCACAACATCAACATATCCATTAACACCAACAATTATACGGTGTCATATATGTATCTCTCAGTCTCCCAGTGTTTGTGTGTAGTATATTATTTGATTTCATCTGCATTCATGTTACTCAGCTGTTTTCAGCAAGGAATCACTTTTATACACATACAAACTTGAATGGTACAGTCCATGTTGCGGTCATTATTCATGGCACCATTAGCATTCTATTTTCATACATACAGTGATTATGAGCATGGAATTGATTTGTTGTAAAGGACTGATTACACATTACATTAAACATAGGGGAATGGGACTTATTGGACCTATAAGTCCATGTCTTTCGCAAACTGTAATGTTTGTTTCTTAAAATATTAAAATACACTGCTGCTATATAAGTGTCACGCGCTTGGAAAGCCGGCGGAAAGCTCGATTGAGCATAAGTATATCCACTTCAGGTGCTTTACTTGCGACAATTATAGACGTCCTCGCAAATTTAACATAAAATTCATTGCTATTTTGAATGAAAACTGTTTTTATTGGATAAATACTAGTGATGATGAAATGAGTTTAACATGTCAAAGCAAAACTTCCCTGTTAGTTCATTAGTTGACCTGTCCTGGTAAAATTTATAATTCTTCTAAAACTCTTGTGGACTTTGTGGTCCAGTATCTATGAAGCCAAAATATTTATAGTTGTATAATTATGATATGTGCGTGTCAGTTTATTCCAAGGTCATGTAGCGTTATCAAATTGATACATCATCATCATCAGCCGTTCACGCCACTGCTGGCAGATGGCCTCCACAACTTCTTCCACTCGATTCGGTCTTTAGCTCTCCTCATCCAGGTCTTTCCAGTTTCCTCTTCGATCTCGTCTCTCCATCTTCTCTTTGGCTTTCCTCTTCCTCTGGTGCAGTTTCTTGGGTACCATTCTGCTGTCAATTTGGCCAATCTGTTGTTATCCATTCTTGCCACATGGCCTGCCCATCTGCCTTTCATTTCTTTTGCTGTTTGGATGACATCTTTCACCCTAGTTCTCTCTCTGACTACTTCATTCCTGATCTTGTCTTTTAGCCTGATATTTAGTATGCTCCTCTCCATGCTCCTTTGTGGCTGCCAGCTTCCTTGATTGGTGTTTTGTAAGCGCCCATGTTTCTGCTCCGTATGTCATAGATGGTAAAATGACAGTGTCCATTATTTTCCTGTTCAAACTGTTTGGGATGTTCTTCTCCTTTAGAAAGTGACTGTATTGCCCGAATCTTCTCCATCCGACATTGATTCTTTGATTGACCTCAACACTGATTTCATTTCTTGGTGTTAACATTTTTCCAAGGTATTTGTACTCCTCCACCTCCTCCATTTTCTCTCCGTCAACTGTGATCCCTCTTCTTTGCTTCCTCCTTGCGATGTCGTTGCACATCAATTTAAAGAAGTATACTATAAAACAAATTCCGAAGAAGTAGACATCTTGAGATTGCAAAATATGCATCAAAACAAGACGAAAGTAAACTGTAAATTTTCGACTTTATTTCAAAGTCATCCTCAGACAGAATGATATTTAAAACCATACATACACATATATATTTACAACGCATGAAATAAGTAAACGGGTAAGCAATAGAAATTAAATAGTGTGATATTTACAAAGATCACAATATTTAGCTCTTCCAACTCTTTGTTCACCCTGTTGCAAATTATCACGCTCCTTACAGCCTACATATATATATGCATACCAATACAATGCACATATTTATTTATGTATAATTGATACAAACATAATGAACAATCTATATAAGGCTATTTTCCTTATACGGTCATCAAATTCGACGACGAAACAATATTTTACGTATTGAATAATTCCAACTCTCTTGAGGGCTTTTACTTATTTATTGTCTACTTGTAATAACACATTAAATGTACTCTTGTCCACCATGCGGTTGAAACACTGATTCTGTGCTGTGGGCGTCTTCATCACTTGGTAATTTGAAATTGCCGTGTGTTCGCCATGCTATGCATGGATAAATATGATGTAATATCTTTAATCTTATTGGTGGAAAACCTCCAAAAACCCTCCAGAAGTGTCATATAAACAGTGTCAGCCTGAAAACCGTGAAACAGTGAAACCGTGAAACAGTGAAACAGTGACAGACGTGTCTGCAAAGAACCATAGTGGAAAAGTAAAAGCGTGTATTTCTTGTATATTTCTTTACGTGGTTAACTTGGCTTTAAAGAAAAGGTAGATATGACTTATATCTATTTTATTTTACACTTGGTAATAAAATAATTTGCTATACTTACGATTCGAACCATACATTTCAACATTTGATCGCACCATTTCAACAACGCTTCGTCAAATGATAGTATTAAACAAGTTTCATCCATTTGGGCATTTTTCCTGCTGGATCGTTTTTCCGATCATTTTAAACTAATTTTTTGATATCAAAAATATCCTGCAGTATATTTTAGCAAAATCATAAACATGATAATTGTTGTAACTCCGAGGAAACCCGCAATTAGAGCAAAGCCCGCGTTGTTTATTTGTCTGTTTTTCGCTTTTGGAAAAAATATTCGCAATTTTAATTTATTATTATACTGCGTGAAATAAAATAATTGCTTATGATTTTCAATTTTTCTACATGGAGGATCCAGAGTACGTCAAAATAAATTACTGCATATTTTGGCGTATATTTACATTCTAAACATCTCAGAGTCAAGCCATTGGCAAAATTATATTCTTTAGAAATTAAAAACAATGGTGCTTTTCTGAAAGTAATTTGAATTTAATATTGAGGGCTATAATTTATTTTGAAAACTGGATTCGCCACTGATTCCAGACGCAAAGATATACTTCGCAAATTTCAGAACAATACCATTGATAATTTTTCTAGAATTGTATAGTTTCACCGTCTGAGAGTGGTGAAATTTGAAATTCGTAATAAGTTGGCTATTTTGTAGAATAGTCCAGATTATGCCTCTTTCCTATTATCTCTCCTCTCTTCTAATTATCTTTAGATCGTCATTTACAAAAGATGAACAACGACGGTGAAAATACCTGTGCTAAAAAGAAAACAACGTAAAGAAAATCATTACAATGGGTTAGAAGATGGCAACGAAAGATACGACAATGCATTACAAAATGAAAGCATGGAAGATGGTGGAAATACTCAACCAATTCTAAATTTACCCATTCAAGAAACGCTTCCTGAACAATTTTGTTTGACCTGCAAGACTTGACAAGAGGAGATGGATGTGCGATGGAAATGCTGAACGAAGATTTGGTTTTAAATGTTCCATCAACGTTAGAAAAACTTTAAAGATTTGTCAACTTCAACGTAAAATGATTTATACTAAGAGAAATAAATCATGTACATTTTTATGATAAATAGGTTTGTGTAAAACGCAAGAACTCAAGAAAATATTTTGTTTTAACCATTCAATAATGGAAGAAAGGCATACTTTAATCTTATGTACTAATGAACAATTTAAAATAATTTGTATGTTTTCTAAATCTCTTTCTTAATAATATTTATTTTATTAATGTAATTATTAATCTTTATTGAATGATAATTTTTAGTGCTGTCATTTCATGCGTTATAATGCATAAACCACTGATATAAACTCATGCATTCCTACATAATTGTTTCCAAAGAAATTATTTATGATGCTAGTTTGCGTCGTGAGACATTGTCTTCACGATGAAATCGACTGAGTGAAATTTTTTAATTTTAGCAAACCATCCTCACCACCAATTATGTATTTTTCCATTGCCAAGTTTACAAATTTTTTATTATTTACTGCCAGTTGTAGATTCGATAAAAAACAGAATGTTTTGAAATACTCTTTGTAAGGGCTCTTATAGTGATTTCTATTTTATTTTTTCCTATCACAAGTTTCCAATTATTGTGATGACGACGAATAGCTTTTGTTTTGTGAATTAGTTTAGACCAGTTTAGCCTTCTCCACTTATTTCAAATGAAAGCGTTTAAAGGATTTCCCCTTGGCTGTTAAAATCTGGGAAGAAAAACACGTGACCTAAGTCTCTAATATGTATTGAATATTTATATATAGTCAATAGCGCGGTAAATTTATAGTCTTTGTTATTGTGAATTGTGAAGATGAGATTCAGTGTTTATTTGTTGCTTTGAATTGTATTCAGAGCTACAAAATTTCGACAATGACTTCAAGAAAGCTTTGCAACAATGGATTAAAACACGCAAAGCAACATATGATATTATTTTTCATTTTATTCGGCGTACTTTGTGGATTTTTACTTGGTTCTTTATTACATGGCAATGTTCAGTCGTCCATAGATCCAACACCGAAGGAATTTGCAATGTACGTTTCGTTTCTTAGTGAGATTTGGGTGAAAGCTTTCAGTCTTTTGGTTCTTCGTTCGATCGTATCCAGCTTGCTTTTGGCAGTCGCTGAATTGGAGTCAAAACAAAGCGGAAAATTGTGAAGAAGAACATTGCTGTATTGTCTTATGACTACAATGTTTGGGAGTAGTTTGTTTATTTGCATTTAACCTGGAAATGTTAACGTGAAAGAACAAGAACCAAACGAAGAAAACCTTGAACCAATACCTTCTGTGCTTGACGTAATTTGGTTTGTGCAAAATATTGATAAATTTACTGAGTTTGCGCCCTGCTTTTGCTTTAACTGCGAAAATTTTCAAATACGTAGAAGTTATATTTCTATCAGTTAACGACAATGCTTTTTATTTTTTTTGAAGGCAACTTTATTTATTGTAACGTAAATGCTACGTTCGCAAAACTGTGCAACTGTACGAGATTTTTGAGCGCATACGGTAATCGCGTTATCGAAATATTCACTTGATTATTAATCTTCTATTTGTGACAAACTTGCCTTAAGTACTAGAGGTGGCTATGACTTTTTATACATTATTATATTCATATTTGACACTTTTTTTACTATGCCATACGAACCACATCTACCAAAGTGATAAACACCACAAGATCGTAATGCTATGTTGTAGAATATCCGTCCACTCACTATCTACTTATATAATATACCTTGTTCTTTATACTTTGTTCTTTATTTTCACCATTAAATGACACTAAATGATACTGGATAAATAATAATTGAGAAATAAACGATATTTTAGTTTAGTGATAAACACCACAAGATCGTAATGCTATGTTATAGAATACCCGTCCGTCCTCACTATCTACTTAAAATATGCCTTGTTCTTTATACTTTGTTCTTTATTTTGACCATTAAATGACACTAAATGATACTTGATAAATAATAATTGAGAACTAAACGATATTTTAGTTTAGTGATAAACACCACAAGATCGTAATGCTATGTTATAGAATACCCGTCCAATCACTATCTACTTATATAATATGCCTCGTTCTTTATACTTAGTTCTTTATTTTGACCATTAAATGACACTAAATGATACTTGATAAATAATAATTGAGAACTAAACGATATTTTAGTTTAGTGATAAACACCACAAGATCGTAATGCTATGTTATAGAATACCCGTCCATTCACTATCTACTTATATAATGTGCCTTGTTCTTTATACTTTGTTCTTTATTTTGACCATTAAATGACACTAAATGATACTTGATAAATAATAATTGAGAACTAAACGATATTTTAGTTTAGTGATAAACCACAAGATCGTAATGCTATGTTATAGAATACCCGTCAATCACTATCTACTTATATAATATGCCTCGTTCTTTATACTTAGTTCTTTATTTTGACCATTAAATGACACTAAATGATACTTGATAAATAATAATTGAGAACTAAACGATATTTTAGTTTAACTTAAGCCGTAAGGGTGCCTTTAAAAAGGGACGGGTCTTCTATAATTGTTCGAGATTTTAAATGGATAAGTTAATCTGAAACACAACCTTTACAACAATGATCTTGAAATATAAAAATTACAATAAGCCTTCCACACTCTACTCATCACACACTCAATTTCTCATCTCTTTGAGACAGTGAGTGGAAGGTTTATTGAAATTTTTGAATTTCAAAGTCATTGTTCTGTAAACTATGTTTCAGATTAACATATCCATTCAAATCGTTTTATTTCACAGCTTTTAACCTTTTAATAACGAGATCATTGTTAAGTGATTATTGCTGTCATCAGATTGTTTCATTCCTAAATAGTTGATCTCTAAACAAGTTAATTATGACGGCCAATTTTTATAACATTGACCGCAAGACGTAAAACTGGCCGTTTGATTGTAAATCATGATTTTAATCTTCCGTACCATAATATTTCGCATTTAGGCTCTGGTCGACTGCTCACTGCGAAATTTAACTGTGAAGTGTTAAGTAAAGAAAAGGTTGCTGAATGCTATGTAGCTGATCTTCAAAGTATGTAAAATGTCTTTTTGCCTATAGAAAATTTTACTATGTTAAATTTTAGCGACGAAGTTCACTTTCCATGTCTGTGAATATCAACCATATTTATAGCACACTAACTTGTAAGAACGTATTCTTTGGAGACAATGATTATCTCGTTATTATATTCCTGGGAAACACGTTTTATTGAGCTGGTGGCTCATGACATGCATTCTAATTTCTAAAGCGAAGTTCAATATTTATAATTTCTTCACAAACAATGACACGATAAATCATAGTTCAATGAAAAGAAAATTGTCAGCTCGTCAGTTCTTTCAAACAACGACGATTTTAAGATAATCCGATGTTTTCCGAATATTTCTGAGATTTTTCAAAAATTTCATTGTTTTTCCGAAATGTCCGAATTAATCCGTTAACTTCCGATCTTAAAATTAGATGAATATGACTTTTGCCATCTTGTGAACTTTTGACGCAAGCGAGCATGAATATTTTGAAATTTCGAAACTTTGAGTTTATTTTCTTTGTCTTTCTCTGTTTATTGTAAATAAACCGTTATCCACTCTGTGGCATTTCGTTGTTCATGTTTTATGACAACAATTTTTGCCGCCATTTTGAGGAGTATTTTAGTTATTTGTGTTAAACTTGGAAATGTTAACGTAAAAAAACTGAACCAAACGAAGAAAAAGTAGAAGCAATACATTCATTCTGTGCTTGATCTCATAAGGTTTGTGTCAAGTATGAATAAATATGTTCAAACGTTTATTTTCTGTATGTTCTTGTATGTATGTTTAGGAAATTTTGTTTGTAAAATTAAAGTTAAGATTGTACAGAGCACAGCGATTATTTACGAATAAATTGTCTTTTCTTTAAGATAAATCGTATTTCACCACGTACCTATGTTGTCAAAACGACAACAATGAATTGAGAAGAAGGTTTAAAAGCTTTGGAAACTCAATCAAAACCATTAAAGAAGTCATTATGAACAAGAAAGGTACAATTGTTCTAAGTATAAAGTACCATCCCTCAAACTTTCTGTTATCAATTTCTCTATCATTTTATTCCAAGTGCATATTATGTCCTTAACATCTTGTTATCATCTTTATACCATCTTTGTACTACCACCATGTGATCCTCATATCATACCATATAATCCTCAAACCATCACCACATCATCTTTGTACTACCACCATGTGATCCTATAGCATACCATATAATCCTCAAACCATCACCACATCATCTTTGTACTACCACCATGTGAACTTCATATCATACCATATCATCCTCAAACCATCACCACATCATCTTTGTACTACCACCATGTGATCCTCATAGCATACCAAATAATCCTCAAACCATCACCACATCATCTTTGTACTACCACCATGTGAACTTCATATCATACCATATCATCCTCAAATCATCACCATCATCTTTGTACTACCACCATGTGAACCTATATCATACCATATCATCCTCAAACCATCACCACATCATCTTTGTACTACCACCATGTGATCTCATAGCATACCAAATAATCCTCAAACCATCACCACATCATCTTTGTACTACCACCATGTGATCCTCATATCATACCATATCATCCTCAAACCATCACCACATCATCTTTGTACTACCACCATGTGATCCTCATATCATACCATAATCCTCAAACCATCACCACATCATCTTTGTACTACCACCATGTGATCCTCATAGCATACCAAATAATCCTCAAACCATCACCACATCATCTTTGTACTACCACCATGTGATCCTCATATCATACCATATAATCCTCAAACCATCACCACATCATCTTTGTACTACCACCATGTGATCCTCATAGCATACCATATAATCCTCAAACCATCACCACATCATCTTTGTACTACCACCATGTGAATCCTATATCATACCATATCATCCTCAAACCATCACCACATCATCTTTGTACTACCACCATGTGATCCTCATAGCATACCATATCATCCTCAAATCATCACCACATCATCTTTGTACTACCACCATGTGATCCTCATAGCATACCATATCATCCTTAAACCATCACTACATCATCTTTTGTACTACCACCATGTGATCCTCATGCATACCATATCATCCTCAAACCATCACCACATCATCTTTGTACTACCACCATGTGATCCTCATAGCATACCATCATCCTTAAACCATCACCACATCATCTTTGTACTACCACCATGTGATCCTCATATCATACCATATCATCCTCAAACCATCACCACATCATCTTTGTACTACCACCATGTGATCCTCATATCATACCAAATAATCCTCAAACCATCACCACATCATCTTTGTACTACCACCATGTGAACTTCATATCACCAAATAATCCTCAAACCATCACCACATCATCTTTGTACTACCACCATGTGAACTTCATATCATACCATATCATCCTCAAATCATCACGCATCATCTTTGTACTACCACCATGTGAACCTCATATCATACCATATCATCCTCAAACCATCACCACATCATCTTTGTACTACCACCATGTGATCCTCTAGCATACCATATCATCCTAAACCATCACTACATCATCTTTGTACTACCACCATGTGATCCTCATAGCATACCATATCATCCTCAAACCATCACCACATCATCTTTGTACTACCACCATGTGATCCTCATAGCATACCATATCATCCTTAAACCATCACCACATCATCTTTGTACTACCACCATGTGATCCTCATATCATACCATATCATCCTCAAACCATCACCACATCATCTTTGTACTACCACCATGTGATCCTCATATCATACCAAATAATCCTCAAACCATCACCACATCATCTTTGTACTACCACCATGTGATCCTCATATCATACCATATCATCCTCAAACCATCACCACATCATCTTTGTACTACCACCATGTGATCCTCATATCATACCAAATAATCCTCAAACCATCACCACATCATCTTTGTACTACCACCATGTGATCCTCATAGCATACCATATAATCCTCAAACCATCACCACATCATCTTTGTACTACCACCATGTGATCCTCATAGCATACCAAATAATCCTCAAACCATCACCACATCATCTTTGTACTACCACCATGTGATCCTCATATCATACCATATCATCCTCAAACCATCACCACATCATCTTTGTACTACCACCATGTGATCCTCATATCATACCATATCATCCTCAAACCATCACCACATTATCTTTGTACTACCACCATGTGATCCTCATAGCATACATTATAATCTTCAAACCATCACCACATTCTCTTTGTACTACCACCATGTGATCCTCATATCATACCAAATAATCCTCAAACCATCACCACATCATCTTTGTACTACCACCATGTGATCCTCATATCATACCATATCATCCTAGTACCATCACTATATACCATCCTCATGCAATCACTGTATTATCCACGTACCTTCCCATACCATCCTTGCAAGTCATTGTGTGATTTGCACATTACAAGTTGATTGTTTATCCAAACCTTCACTTTACCCACAGATTTTTAACCTTGATCATTACTGACCAAGATCTTAGCAATCTACTTTTGTGTTTATTTTGTCAATTCTTCTCATTATGTCAGATACATGCCAATCAAGATTAGAGGTTGAAATGTACTTGTAAATCCTATTGCCATGCCTTTGAATTCGTACAAGAAATTTGTTGATTTCAAATGATAAAGTTA